GCAGGGGGAATTCAGAGGAAGGGGGGCATGTGCCCCCGGTCAGAGAGCAGCGCGGTCAGAGCTCCAGAGGTGGGCAGAGCACACCCCGCGAGGGCGGCGGGGATCCTAGGTCTAGGGGTCAGAGCGGGTCGGGGAGGTCACGCTGGGTCTGGGGGCGCTGCTGCCACCCCAGGCCAGCGTGTCCCCACCGGGCTTACCCCCCCCTTCCACTCTGTTCCATTCTGTTATTTCCATTTTGGGCAAAAGACACAAGCGTCCACCCAGCTGCTGGCACCAGCAGCCTTAGTCACGCCACTGCTCACTCCCGGTTACTCACCGGCCCTGGATCCCGGGGCTTCCGGGCTCGGCCCCCACCCCGCCGCTAGCCACCCGAGCGGCCCTCCTTTCCCGCTGGGGGCTCCTCACAGCCTCTACCTGCTTTGCCTGCTGTCCCAGCCTCCCTCCGCCCAAAGCATTCTTCACCCTCAAGCCGCAGGATCTTTCCAGCAAGCACACCTGACCAGCCGCTCCGTTCCTGGAATCCTTCAACGTCTTCCTGTCACAGGCTGGACCCTTTGGTGTCCCCTCCCATCTATCCCCAGCACCAGCCCCCCATCTCATCACCCGTCGTGCTGCTCCCTCCTCACCTGTGTCCCAAGCCTGTGGCTCTGCACCAAATAGTCTCCTTCCCTTCTTGCAGAGGGGGTGCTACTCAAGATCAAGAACACCTCCTCCTCCAGGAAGCCCTCTGGACCTCCCTTTCTCCCTTCTCAGAGCCCTCCTCCATCCCTCACACTCCACTATTACCGTTCGTCACTCAATACATCCCCTACTGAGAGTCCCAGTGCCTCTTCTTCTGTACCCTGATCCCTGGTAGGATGTCTGGCACATAAAGCTAATGTTTACTGATCCCCAGGTGTGTGCCAGGCCTGTCCTAAATGTGTTAGAGTGTTATACAATCCTCATAAAGACCCTTTGAGGAATATATCACCTTCCTTGACTCCTGTTTTGTGGACAAGGAAGTGGGCCTAGGAGGGTCAAATGTCTTGGCCCGGTCAATCTGCTAGGGAGAGGTGGAATTGAAACTCCGACTCGCAGTGGGGCCGAGCCGGGGTGGCTTACCACACCTCCTCGTCTCCTATATGAAGGATTGGAGAGCATTCAGTGACCAGAGATGGGGCCAGGAGGGACCCAGGGCACCTTCTCCTTGGCCTCCCAGCACCAGGTGGGGCTTGGGGTGCGTGTGGTGTGTGACAGGGGACACACGCCTCTGCCTTCCCCCTCACCGCTAGGTCCCCAGTGGGAAATCACAGCATCTAGAGACCCTGGCCTGTCATCTCACAGGTGGGGATTTCTAGGAATGAGGGCAGGCTTTGGGAAACTCAAGCCAGAGACCCTGATAGAGGGAGATAGAGATTGGGGGGGAGGCGAGGAAGGGGGACAGCTGGGGAGAGAGAGACCAGGAATTACTTTCCAAGTGATTGGAGAGATGGACTTATCCCAAGGAAGCCACGTCAACAAGACAGGAGTTTGGCAGCTGATGGCAGCAGCCTTATCAAGAACATCAGGGGGATCCCTGGGTGGCGCAGTGGTTTGGTGCCTGCCTTTGGCCCAGGGCGCGATCCTGGAGACCCGGGATCGAATCCCACGTCGGGCTCCCAGTGCATGGAGCCTGCTTCTCCCTCTGCCTGTGTCTCTGCCTCTCTCTCTCTCTCTGTCTCTCTCCCTGTGTGTGACTATCATAAATAAATAAAAATTTAAAAAATAAAAAGAACATCAGGAAATTGCAGGGCACCCTCTCCCTGTGGACAGTTCCATTTTTCCATGTCACAGTGAAGGCATGCCATGGGGCATGATGCTAAGAGATGGCATCCTGCTCTCGTGGCTTGGCTGGACAAGAGCTCCTGGTGGCCCATGCAAGGCTGGGATGAGGGCCTAGTAGTGCCATGGGAGGGGAATAAGCAAAGGTGATTATTCTGGTATGATTTTCTAAAATTAGGGCTTAGGGATCCCTGGGTGGAGCAGCGGTTTGGCGCCTACCTTTGGCCCAGGGCACGATCCTGGAGACCCGGGATCGAATCCCATGTCGGGCTCCCGGTGCATGGAACCTGCTTCTCCCTCTGCCTATGTCTCTGCCTCTGTGTGTGTGTGTGTGTGTGTGTGTGTGTGTGTGTGACTATCATAAATGAATAAAAATTTAAAAAAATAAAATTAGGGCTTATACTGGGGTGCTTGGCTGACTCAGCTCAGAGCACACAACTCCTGATCTCTGGATGATGAGTTCAAGCCCCCATGTTGGGTGTAGAGCTTACTTAAAAAAAAAATTAAGGCATATAAAATGATGCGAGTTTTTTTTTTCATTTTTTAGAGATTTTATTTATTTATTCATGAGAAATACAGAAAGAGAGAGAGAGGCAGAGGGAGAAGCAGGCTCCATGCAGGAGCCTGATGTGGGACTCAATCCCGAGTCTCCAGGATCACAGCCTGGGCTGAAGGCAGCGCGAAACTGCTGAGCCACCCAGGCTGCCCTGATACAAGTTTTTATTTTTTTATTTTTATTTTTTTAAAGGATTTTTTTAAAAAAATTTATTTATTTATGATAGTCACACAGAGAGAGAGAGAGAGGCAGAGACACAGGCAGAGGGAGAAGCAGGCTCCATGCACCGGGAGCCCGATATGGGATTCGATCCCGGGTCTCCAGGATCGCGCCCTGAGCCAAAGGCAGGCGCCAAACCGCTGCGCCACTCAGGGATCCCTGATACAAGTTTTTAGAAAGATTTTATTTATTTGAAAGAAAGAGCACAAGGAGGGGGAGGTGCAGAGGGAGAGAAGCAGGCTCCCCGTTGAGCAGGGAGCCCTACATGGGGTTCAATCCCAGGATCATGACCTGAGGCAGATGCTTCGCCAACTGAGCCACCCAGGTGACCCAAAATGATAGGATTAAAAAGAAGTCCCCAAATTAAAAACGTCCTCTAGGTAAATACAGAGTGGTACAATCAGGACCCGACACTCACCACCATCACTGGTGGGAGAGAGCCCAGGGGCCAAACCTGACCCCCAGGGGGTGGTGTGTGCTCCTCCCTCTGGGCTGTTGGGCATGAAGGGGCCCTGGCACCCAGGCTGGCACGCGGGGCAGCTTCTCAGAAACGGTGCCCGTTAGGGGCATCGTCTGCCCTGGATGCTCTGTCTGGTCCGGGCCCATTCAGGGTTTGCCTCCACCAACAGGATTTACAGCAGCCTTCAACCCTAAGCCACTCCTCTAACACTTATTGAGCATGTAGTGTGTGCAGGCACCCAGCTAGGCTCCGGGGATCCAAAATTGAGGAAGAAGGCTCTCACTCTGCAGGAGCTTGCAGTCTGGAGGTGGGGGGTGGGGGTGGGGTGGGGCTGACCATGCAGACCTGATGTCCTGATGCTACAGCGAAAACTGTGGTTACTGGACACAGAAGGGAGACGAGGGGGGTGGGGCATGATAGCTTGGACACCCTGGAGGGCCGATCTCTGAACAAGGCCCTAACAGATGAAGAGGGTCTGGAGCAAGGGAAGAGCCTCGAGCCGGTGTGAACTTAACTCACAGATCATCCCAAGCGCAGAGCCCGGCTGCTGAGGTGGAAGCAGTCCTCAGGCCTCAGCGTGGATGGTCCCTGAGTGGGGGTTAAGGGATGAGTAGGCGGCTGGGGAAGGGTACACAGGCGTGTTACCTGAACATGCGTGCAAAGGCCACTGGGTTGGTCACTTCAAAATGGTTGGGCTGAATGTTAAAAAAAAAAAAAAAAAAGACACTGAAACAAAGCACCCCCATGGCTGGGTGGAGATGGGGACACAAGATGGGCCACAGCCACCGTGAAGCAGGCCTGCAGGGGGCCCCCGTGAGGGCAGGTGCTGGGAGGTACAGGGGCAGGAGCGTCCCCAGGCGGGCTGAGCTCCACGCAGACACTGCTCCCCGAAGCCCACCCGGCCAAGGGAGGCAGGCATCTGAAGTCAAGGGCTACAGCTCTGTACCCAGGGCCACCCCTCACCCAGGGAACAGGCCTGGGCCAGTGTCTTAACATCAGTCACAAAATGATGCCAAGGACGCTTACAGTAAGGAGTCGTTGCTGCAGGGATTTTGGGGGTGTCCCCCAAGCGTGGCCCCCAGAAATGCACACTGCCGCGTGAGAGCAGCACACCCATCTCCCCCGGCCTGGACGGGACAGCAGCAGCACAGGGGCTCCTGGGGCCTCCGGGGAAGCGTGACCACTGCGTCCCGAGGGCCAGGGAGCGGAGCCGGCCACAGGCCTGCGTAAAGGCCCCGGAAAACACCATGGCCGAGCGCCAGCAGCGCCGGGGCGCCCAAGGCGGGGCAGCAGGAAGGTGCCGGGGGGACAGAGTGTTGTGGGGCACAGCCTACGGTGAGGAAGTGGGGAGAAGAGAGAAGCAGCTCCCCCGCACGGGAGGTGGCAGCGGCAGTCCCGAGGAGCCCCACCGGGACGGCCTCGGCCTGGCTGCAAGCCACCAGGTGTCGCGGCTTTCTTCGCAGGATATGGTACGGCCGGGGGAGCGCCGGGTATTCGAGGGGACATGCACGCGGGCTCATACCAACGTCCAGACAAAATATTCTCATTCTGAACCAGCAGGGTTTAAGCCGGGCTGCACGTGTGACGGGGATCCGCGCAACCCTGGACTGAGACTTTGGACGGCGGTTCCCGGTGGCTGCTCCCCGTTCCTCACCCTAGGGCATGTGTCCACGTGATGGGCGCTGTGAACCGGAGTAAACAAAACTGGGGTGGGGGGGCGACGACTTGGTGTGCATGAGTGCAGCAGAGTGGGTCTCCTTCCAACAGAGAGAGGGAGACTTCAGGGAGCGATCCTCCTCGGGCCAGTGTCACCCTGTCCTCCTCGGCCGTCCATGTGGTCATGACCAGAGACGCTGCTCCCAGGCCCTCCCATCCCACAGAAACGTTTGCGTATCAAATATTTCAGTGTGGTTTCACTAGTTTGCCTTAATTTTATTTAGGGCTCAAATGAACACTGACCAACCGTATTCCTAAATCATTTATTTTCACTTTCCCCAACTTAGATTTGGCTGCCAAGCCACACATCCAGTCACGACACACCAGTCTATTTTCACTTGGTCTCGCCATCCTTTATTCACTCAGATGCTCCAACGTGTCAATCTGGTAAAATCCATTTCTCAGCCAATGACCACCCTACACAAGAACGGGAAGGTAAAGGGACCCATACAACCCTTTCTCCTCCTTAATCATTAGCTCACTAGTTTTTGGCAAACCATGTCCTTTGCCAAGCAGCGCACTTCCGTATGAAATGGAGCAGGGCCCCTCCCGGACCTCCATGCCGTCACCGGCACCCCTGGAGCAGACCCGACCTGCAGGCACCCGCACTCGGGGGTGCTTCCCGGCAACCCAAGGGCTTCTGGCCAGCTGGGAATACACTTGCGGATCCCGCAAGCTGAAGCAGCAGCTCTGCTGCTGTGTCTCCGCGTCATGTCACAAGTCAGCATGTCTGTGCGACAGCGTGTTCCCTGATTTTGCTTCCTTGGTCCCAAGCACAGAGTTAACAAATTCCATAGGGTCTGGTCAAGTGAGCGTGTCTGCAAACATGTGACGAATTTCATCTTCAGTGACGAGTCACGTGATGGTGTACCTCACTTCTTGACCACAATCTGACACGACTATAATGAAGATCATAATTTTTAATTGAAATTTTAGTCAACATACAGTGCAATCTTGGTTTCTTCCACAAGGTGGTCACTTTCCTACTTTTGTAGGCTTGCAGTTTTGTCCTCTCAGACCTCTGACTGATTTCTTGGGTGTTCAGAAGGATTTGGTAAGTATCTAGCTGTGTTCGAGGGGCAAAGATGAGCTCAGGGCCCCCTGACTGCTCTGCCATCTTAACACCTCGTGGTCATAATTTTGTTTTATACCAGGTTATTTTTAAAGATCCACACCCTTCTCTTACTTAGATGTGGTAGCGTGAAGCACTTGTGAGGCATCCGCTGTACTCCAGCTTCAGCTGGTAACGTCCACATGCAAATGAGACATTTGGGGGCGGAAGGACGAGAACAGTCACGTCAGGCATCCATGCCTGAGACCTCACTGTGCTAATTAGTGGCAATTTATTTTTTTGAACAGGTTTAGTCTTGTGAATTTTGAGGACATTCTGCATTTTTTAAAAAAATGTAAATATCTGTACAAATTAAATCTATTCCTGGAACAGAGAAAAGGACTGGACAAACTGAAGGAATCTGGCTAAATCTGTAGTTAATAGCATTATATATCAACATTTGTTACTGCTCGGATATGTGCCCTGTATCTACACTGCAGGAGGTGGGCGGGGGCTATGGAAAGTCTCTGTACCACCTTTCCATTTCTCCTGTAAATCTGAAGTTATTTCAAAATTAAAAACTTACAAAATCTGAATCTGTATTAAATACAACACACATAAAGGGACTATAAAGGCCTTATGGATTCAGGAAATGGGTAAGAGGAATCTGAAAGCCTGAAATCTTCAGAATTTTCTAAAACAGGGCAGCCCTGGTGGCCCAGCGGTTTAGCGCTGCCTTCAGCCCGGGGTATGATCCTGGAGACCCGGGATCGAGTCCTGCACTGGGCTCCCTGCATGGAGCCTGCTTCTCCCTCTGCCTGTGTCTCTGCCTCTCTCTCTCTCTGTCGAGAATAAATTAAAAAAAAAATAATAAAAAAAAGAATTTTCTAAAACAAATTGCCATGAAGAACTCAAAAAGTTAAGCATGCAGCTTATAAAAGTCAGAAAAGTTGAAATACTAATTTTGATTCAGCAAAACTCTTGAAAAATTCATAATACAAATGACTTACTCTTCTATTATAAATTATTTTTGGAAAACTAATGTCCTGAAGCCCTAAAGGCATATAGTCCACTTTAACAATTTTTTTAATTTAATGAACTGTTTTTAACTACGTCCTATTTTTTTTTTGTTAAAAATTTATTTTATTTATTCATGAGACATAGGCAGAGGGAGAAGCAGGCTCCCCACAGGGAACCTGATGTGGGACTCGATCCCAGGACCCCAGGATCATGCCCTGAGCCAAAGGCAGATGCTTAACCCCTGAGCCACCCAGGCGTCCCTGTTCTGCTTTATTTTTAAAATAAACTTTTTAAAAGTAAGCTCCATGTCCAATGTAGGACTCGAACTCACAACTCCAAGACCAGAGTCCCATGCTCTTCGGACTGAGCCAGCCAGGCACCCCTCAAAATAAGTTTTTAAATGCTTCTAGAAAAAAAATGATAATTCGTCATGCAATTTCATAACACGTTAGCTATTTTCGACATCAAAAGCAAATTTTAGGTAACCAGTAAGAAATGATAGAGAATATTAACAAAATGTGTTCTACTTGGAAGCACTTGATACATGACTAGACATTAAATTGGAGTTAAAGATGAGGGTAATAACCACACGTACCTTTACTTCAGCAGGGCAGCTGGGAAGATGACGTGAGAGCCGAGGGAACGGAGGACCACGCGTGTGCATGCGGAGACCTCACGCCACAGACAGAGGTGGTGGCTAAGCAGCGCTGGGTCTCCTACGCTGGACCCCTCGAGGCAGCCAGAGACTCCTCCAGATTCACTCTCAGAAGAATCCCCCAGGCTCCCTCCAGAGGGAGCCACACAGACGGTGCTAGAATGGACCTCCAGGCGCCCTGAAAGGCCGTCAACATTCCACGGATGATGCACTGACCAGCAATGCTGAGGGTGCCGCCTGTGGCACCCCGCTTGGCAGCAGGCCCAGAGGAGCCCCTGGAGGCCCTCTGACCAAAGACAGCAGACTTGGACCGTCAGAGTTCACATAACGAGACCGTGTTTAATGAACACCAAAGTTGGTGCTATAGCAGAGGGCTGTGGGGGTTCAGGGCGGGGGCAAGGGTGGCAGTGGTCGGGGTGGGGGGGTGGCGAGCATATTACCGCCTCTCAGCACCTCTGTCCCTTACTAGGGACTCACACTGTCCCCCTTGGAGCCTCTGGACAGTCCCTGGGGACAGCAGAGCAGGATGACTGGCCCCATGTTACAGGTGGAGAAACAAAGTTCCCGGCAGATTCCAGGCCTGCCTGAAGCCACAAGGACCCCTGGTCCTTCCTCCTGTAACACAGTGGCCTGGCTCAGAGGAGACTGGAAGAGTGGGCAGGAGAGGGCCAATGCCCCACAGCAAGAGCAAGCAGGATGGAGATGGCAGAGGCACAGTGCCCGGGGCCACCAAGGGCCGCAGCCGCGTGGGGATCAGGCTGGTGGGCGGGACCCCTGGCACCTGTGGCTCGAGCTGCCACAGGCCCACAGGGCTGCTCGGGTGGCTGTCGGCTTCCCCTCCTCCCCCCAGTGCCCAGGCCCTCAGGACCAGCTGAGGGAGGTCACGTGGTGGGAGGCTGCTCCCCAAGTCTTCACGGGGCACCTACAGTCTACAGGGCCTGTGTGGGGCCAGGCTGGGTAGGGCAAAGGGGGGAGGTGGCAGCACAAGAAAGCCATGCTGTACGCCAACGACAGGGCTGAGAGAGGGCTGTAGGGGGGTGTGCGGCGAAGGAGCTGCATGGGAGGGGCCAGGGAGGAGGCAGGTTGCACGTGCTGACAGACGAAGACAGGGGTGCCACGCTGAGGAGTCTGGGTGGGATCCTGGGGCCACTGCAGGGGAGGAGGAGGCCCCCAGCAGACAGGAGGAGAGCTAGGAAATGTGGACTTCCCCGGGCAAGTCCTTGGAAATGGAGCTGGCTGGGGTGGGGTCTGTGGCAGAGGGCCCCTCCCTGGGCCATTCTGGGCCGCCTCTTTGGGACTGAGCCTGCTGGGAGGCCCAGCAGAAGCCCCAGGCTCTGGAACACCAGGACACATGATGTCCCCTCAGGCCCTTCCTCATACTGGTGCTTGACCCTCCCTCGGGAGGGGCCCAAAGCTCAGCACAAATCCTGCCCTCCCCTCTTTCACCCTGTGGTTCTGAGAGGCGGCCACAGGCTCTGGCCAGCAGGGGGAGGCGTCAGGACCCTGTGGGGGTGGGCGGGGACAGGGCCAAGGAACCGCACCCACTCAGGAGCAGCCCCCCAGGTGCGGTGTGGTGTCTTCCGATCCACCAGCCACAGGACCCAGGGCGGCTCAGGGCTCTGCTCCAGAGCTATGCTAAGACACACCAGCAGGGGGTGCCACGGACCCACACTTGGTGGAAGGTTCCTTCTGCTGTCAGGTCCCCACCCCCACACCAAGGGACTGAGACTCAGGGGCTGCAAGATGCGGCCCCTCCTAGGCCTTGGGCGCAGGAGTCCTCCAGAGCCCCGAACAGGCGAGTCCCAGCCCAGCTAGAGGCAGCAGCAAGTCTGAGCCGGTCTGAGCAGGGACACCCACCCCCCCCAGCTGAGGTCCCAGCAGCCCCTGCCCGGCCCCCCACCAGAGCACCCCCACGCTGCCCACCGCAGAGCAGGGGGGGGGTTTCATCTACTGCCTCTCCCCTGAAGAGGGGGTCTGGCCACTGCCTCACCCCCCACTGCACGGTGGCAGCCCAGTCACCAACTGCGCAGGCGCATCACTGGGTGTCAGGGTCCTGGAAGCCCCAGGCCTCCACAGCAGCGATGAGGAAGTTCTCAGAGCAGAGGGGCTGGTTGTTGAAAGTGTCGCAGTGGCCGGTGCGGCCCCGGTTCAGGTCCCCGTCGATGTAGAGTGCCTGGCCACCGCCTCCACCTGGGGGAGGCTCAGGTCAGGCCGGCTGCCCTCTGTCCACTCTGCTCCTGCTCCTGAGCATCTGCTCTTGGAGGGAGCAAGCCTCACAGCTGGCCCTGCCCTGGTCCTGCCAGAGACTTCTCCAAAACCACAGGGCTGACCCTCAGTCTCCTCAAGCCCCCCTGGCCAGGGTCCCCACCATACAGCCACCTGTCCCTACGCCCACCCCCGTGCCTGCTCCAGCCTCCACACTCCCAGTTCTCTTGTCTGCCTGTCCCTTGGGGAGGCACCTGCTACACGGGAACTCCGGCGCCCCACAACCCTGCGCCCATCTCCCAGGCTAAGTGACCAAGGGCAGGCAGGGAGGTGCTCACCTATGATGAGGCAGTCGTTGCCTCCAGCCATGAACATGGACTCAGTCTTGGAGGGCAGATTGAAGTGACGTGTGGCCAGGAAGGGTGAGAGGCGATCTGCAGGGTCTGAGGACATGGGGCGGCAGGGAGGGGATGGGGCAGCGACGGCCTCCAAGGACACCGGCTTGGTCAGCTCCGGGTGTTTGATGACCACCCACTCATAGCGCTGGACCTCAGGCTGCAGCTGAGGGCAAAAGGGCAGTGTGAGTCCCAAGCACACAGTCCCCCGTGGGCCCTCCTGCCCACCCACTGCCCCCCGTCTTCGTCAGCGCCAGGCCCTGTGCCGGGGCCGGGGAGACGTGGCACAGGGCGGAGAAGGCTGGCTGCCTGCTCTTGCACGGTTTGGTCTGATGGTCACAAACAAGAAGCCAACGGGGCGGGGGGGGAGGCTGCAGTGTGACCACCCCAGCAGACTCACCCTAAACACGAAGCACTCTCCGGTCCCAAAGAAGCCCACTTTGCCTCCAAACTTGTTTCTCTCACTCCAGTCTGTTGACAGGTAAGCCCCACACACCTGGGGAGAAAGGTCATGAGGCTGCACCCCGCCTACTTGTGGGAACACCCCTTGCTTGTTGCTGGGGGGCGGTGGTACAGTCACAGCTGGGGGGCACTGTTGGCACTGCCACACCGCCCCCCCCTCCAACCAGAGGGCCAGAGGTGGCCAGTGGTGTGAGGAGGTCAGAGTCTGGAAGGCAAGGGGTGGGCAGTGAGGGTGGGTGGGCGGCCGCCTCGGCCAGCACCGGCTTATTTGGGATACTTTTGTTTCCCTCCTTGGCCCTCAAGCACGGGAAGGAGCCCACGTCCACACTCAGCCATCAACCCCAAGGATGCCCCTCACAGAGAAGCTTCCAAGAGATGACCCTGTTCTAGAATGTTCCCCAACGCCATCAGCCAGCAAAGCACGAGATTCCCTCAGACTCAGTCCTCTGAGTGGCTGCAGGCTTTGCCCTAAGTGTCTGACCATGAGTCACCTGCTAGAATGCAGACACGGGATTCCCATGGGTGCAGGCTTGGGGGCCAAGGAACAGAGAGCCTCTACCGGGGAAGCACGCGCCCTTGGGTTGGGGGCACCTGGGTTCTAGCCCTCATGGACGCCTCAGGGCACTTCCCAGGTGACAGCCCCTGCAGACAGAGGACGCCCTGAAAACCACCTGTCAGGGTGGAGGCAGGGGCAGATGGCAGGGCGGCAGGCAGTGCTCCCTGAAGCCAGGCCCTGTGGTCTCAGGCGGATTCGGGGCTTAGAGCCCCAGGGGGACAGGGTGGGGGTCACAAGGGGAGGCTGGACTCACCCATGTGAGTGGACGAAGCCTGGGTGGAGGTTTCAGGGCAGCACCCACCCTCCCCGAAGCTCATCAGAGGCAAGGACCTCTCCTTACCTCCTTTTGTGTGGTCTTAATGAGCAAGAGGGTGGGTTCGTGTCCTTCACACTGGAAATAGAACCTGGGGGCAAAGATCACACATGCCAGCCTTACTACCTCCTTTGTGCCACCTCTGGCCACAGCATCTGGTGCCCACAGCATCCGAGATGCCCGGCCACCTGCGGTAGATGGGCCTGGGGACCAGGCATGACGGCCAAGGAGCTTCTCAGCCAAGATGAAGCCCAGACCAGGCAGCCTGGGGCCCAAGCCGTCAGCTACGCCAGGACCGTTGGCCCTGGTGTGAGGTGGGGGAAGGCGCAGGGCAGAGTCCTCAGAAGGCATAGCCATGTGCCAGGTGCTTCAGGGACACAAGACCAGAGGAACAGGTCCCTGCCCTAGGAAAGCCTGGAACGTGCCCAGGAGCCTGAGCCTCTGAGGGACACGCAACACTGGGAAGTGCATGAGGAGCCCTGACGTCACACTGCGGTGGCACTGAGTGTCCAGGACTCGCATGGTATCCCTGGTGGTCCTGCCTGGCCCATCCCTCAGCGGGCCTCCCATGGAGCACAGAGGTGGGGAGCAGGGGAGTGTATCTCTAGCTATGCCAACACACTCATGGGCCGCAGACAGTGCCCGCCGTGAGGGCTGGGGCAGCTCTCCCAAAGTCACCTCTGTGGGGCCACCTGGGACACAAGCCAGAAACTTCTGAGGCTACCTGCCATCTAAGGCTAGACTGGAGATACCTGGCAGAATTGCCTCGGCAGGCGGTACGCCTTGAGGGGGCCCTTCCACAATACCGTGGACCCACCTGCGGACGAGGCAAGTTGAGGCTGGGGAGTAACGCCCCAAGGCCTACCGCCACAGGTCCCCTGTCCTAGGACTCTGTTAACTCCTAGGTGGGCATCTGCCTCCTGCATGGTCACAACACCTATGCGGGAGCCTGGAGCTGTGCTGGGTATCCAGGGCAAGGACCCCTCAGGTTTGGGTGGCCTGGGAATGAGAGAAGTCCAGGAGGAGGGGCTCTCAATTCCGGGGCCCCCAGGGGGGAGGCAGGGCCTTGCCCAGGTGTATCTGAGGGCCAGTCACCAGCCAGCAGAATATTCTGGGAGGCCCCACAGCCCACTCTGTCCTCCCATACTGCAGGCCCTTAGAGTCCAGGCCCTGGGGCCTCAGGAGGGCAGGGCCCAGCCCCGTTGGGCTCCCGGGTGTTACCTGGTGAGGCTATACCCATGCTGCAGGGAGGAGAAGAGCAGGAGGGGCTGGCAGAGGGCGAAGCGTTCGGGGACCCACGACCAGATGTCCCTCATCTCCTTCACACTGACAATCTCTGAGTGGAAGTTCTCTGCGTGCACGGCCAGGTGCACAAACTGCCTGGGGAAAGCGGGGGTGGGGGGTCAGAGCACAGCCGGGACCCCAGCCCTGACCAAGCCCCCCTCCCCCACCAGGGATGCAGAGCCTCTTGTGTAAGCTAAGCCCGCAGGGGGCTTCTCACCTATTTAAGAAACGGGATGGTGCTGACCCCTGGAGCCCCACTCCCATGGGTACAGAGGGGAGAGCACCCAGCCTGGGTCGCGACACAAGCGCTTTTCTCTAATCAACCGGGACAGAGAGCGAGCCAGCTCTGCCAAGACAAGGCTTCAGAGCCAGCCGAGCACTGAGAGACAGTACACATGAGGCAGTGGAGCAGACAGACAGGGCCTGGACATCAGCCAGGCTTCAAGGTGGCACTGCCCAAGCCAGAGCGAGTGGCCAGGCCCCGCGACAGCCAGGCTGGAGGAGGGACAGAAGCCAGGCATGGAGATGTGGTTTCTAGACCTACCTTTTAGAAAGTGAAACACTGAAAAACGGGAGGAAGCAACGGACACAGAGAAGACAGAGAAAAATAAAACAGACAAGGAGAGGTTAGTGGGAGGTACCGATGGCCGGGACGCAACTGCCTGCGGCCCCGGAGAAAGGCCTCTGTGCCTACAGCCTGCTCAGGCCGAGACGGCGTTCGGACGCTCGCCGGGTGCTATGCTCGGGGCGGACAGCGTACGCAGCAGTCACAGGGACAGCAGCAAGGGAGCCCAGGGCTGGGAGTGACCCGCGGCAGTCAGCCTGGCCACTGCAGACCCTCTGACCCCATGGTCGGTGTCTGGCTTCCGTCTTAGCCACGGCCTTGTCCCCGAGGGCACGACCCTGCGCCTTCTGCAGCCACAGCTGCCTGAAACGGCCGGGGCCAGGGCCACAGGGCCCCTTCTCCCCTCCCGTGATTTTCTGTCCAGGCAGGGCTGGCGGGCGGGCGGGCAGGCGAGGGTGGGCGACCAAGAGGCTGGCAGGACAAGTTCAGGCCCCAACACCCAGGATGTGCCCCACCCCAGCTCTACCCAACGTGGGCCCCTCAGAGCAGCCCAGGGCAGGCCACACCCAAGGCCCTGAGGGGCCTGCCTACCTCTTCTGCTTGACGGTGATGCCTTTCTGCTTCAGAGCCTTCTCGTTGGCCATCTGCAGGAGCTGGATCTCCTTGCGGGAGAAGAGGCGGATGGCGAATGCCTTCTCCAGCAGCTTCTCCGGAGACACGGTCTTGGCGATGTCCCTGACGAAGGCACGAATGTCCTGCTTCACGCTGTCTGACTCGAGCGGCTGCCCAGCTCTGACCTTGTGAAAGAACTTGAGGATGGCCAGCGCCACGCGGTACAGCACCTTGTACCCCTCCACAAGGAAGACATCGAAGACGCGAGCGAAGTAGCTGAGGGGCAGCTCCCCAAACAGCCAGCGCTGCCAGTCTGCGTACACCTGCAGGACGTCCTCGGACACGGCCACCATCAGCTTGTGGGCCGCCTGGCAGTACTTGTTCACAAGGTCCCCAAACGTCATGCAGGACGACTCAAAGGCCAGGAAGCTCTGATCTACAAGCTTCCTGCTGGGGTCATTGCAGGCCAGGATGCGGCAGGCATTCTCGAAGCACTGGGCCTCGTCCGTGCTGTAGTGGAGCAGCAGAGCCACGACTGCGGGCAGCGCGGGGCAGAAGGACACGTCGGGGAACTGGTTGGCGATGCACAGCAGGATCTTCCGCACGGCACCCTCGCCCCGGGTGTTCAGGCAGTAGCTGGGCACCTGCGTGTTGTCCACGAACTCGGGCAAGGGCAGGCTGGTGCCGCTGTGCTTGCCCACAATCTTGCCCACGATGTCGCTGTACACGCTGGCATCCGGCGTGACGGTTCGGCAGGGGATGTCGCGGATCAGGCGCTGGTACACCTTGCCCCGCAGGGCATAGCTGCGGGCCCAGTAGCCCTGGCGAGCCAGCTGCTTCAGCTCCGCCAGTTCCGTACAGCTCAGCTCTTTGGGGCCCTGGTCCTGCACGGCAGCGTCCATCTTGTCTCTGTCCACGAAGCAGTTGTACCCCGGGGGGTCCATGGTGCAGGCCTCGGCACCCTGGGGGCGAGTCCTAGGCTGCCAGGAAGGGCACGGAGCCACTCAATCCCCAACCCCCTCTCCGAGGCTTCGCGGTTAACCTGTGTGCCATCCCATATCCTGTCGGATTAAAGATCATGCTTAATACGTGCAGGCGAAGGGTCATGTCTTAAAGAGCATGCTTTTGTTTCATCTTTCTATAAAGTATTAGAAGGGCTTCCATTTCAGATAAGTTGTTATTTTGAGAATTCACTATGAGCTCTGGAGTAGAACTTCTTTCCACAGGGCAGGTACTGGAGTAGGTCACACACACTGAGTACTCAGAGGCTGGGGCTGAGTTCCCAGAAGGGCTAGGCCAGCCTTCCCCCACCCAACCTGGGCCACCAACCATGGCCCCCCCCCAGCCCCCCCACCCCCGGGCCACCAGCCTCCCCACCCCAGGCTGCCAACCATCCCCCTGGGCTGCCAACCTCCCCCACCCGAGCTGCCAACCACCCCCCTGGGCCACCAGTCACCCCCCACCCAGGCTGCCAACCACCCCCCTGGGCCACCAGCCACCCCCCACCAGGCTGCCAACCACCACCCTAGGCCACCAGTCTCCCCTATCCGGGCCGCCAACCACCCCCCCGGGCTGCCAACCTCCACCACCCAGGCCACCAACCACCCCCCTGGGCCATCAGCCTCCCCCCACCTGGGCCGCCAGCCCCCCTCCCAGCCCCTCACACCCACGGGCCACCAGACCACGGCACCCCAGCAAGTCCAGAGACACTCAGTTTCCGCTCCCTGAGGCTTTGGGCCTTCACGGCTGTGCGTGCTGCACCCCACCGTGTTCCTGCTCTGCCCCACTATCTCCTGGGTCAGAAGCCAGCGGCCAGCCCTTAACTCTCTAGAGATATCAGCTAAGATTCAGGGAGAGAAGAATCACTGCTGGGGAGTAGACGTAAGAGCTGAGAAATAAATGGAAGGTGTCGGAGCTTCAACACTAACGTGTTTCTGGGTCCAAGTGAGACACAGGTATTGGGGGATCCGGTGCCATCCCTCCATCATGGGCAACCACTGAGATCCAGGCAGACATGACAAAACAGGTACGACGTGCAACCTGAGACTCTCCGGCTGATGGGTCACCGCATGTGGACGGTAAGACAGGAGTCTACCGTTCAGGATGCCACAACTTGACGTCTGTCTTTGCCAAAGGCTACCGCTCCGGCACAAAAATGCCACGTCTGCCCACGTACCTCGGACCAGCCTTTCCGCCCGAGATGGAACAAGTGTCCAGAGGTCTCAGGCTCTGCTTCAGAAGGTGTCACTGAACGACCAGACAGTTGCAATTTCTCCTGCATCTATAACATTCATCTGAAAACATAAAAAGGAAGTTGAACCTTAAGGATGCAGAGCAGAAATGAAAGAATCAGTGAGAGGGTGGCTTGAGAAAGTGCCTTCATACGGTGTGGTTTCTTTCATTGTGGTAAAATATGCATAAGACTAGCCATTTTAACCATTTTTCAGTGCATGGTTCTGAGACATTAAGTGTGTTCACACGGTTGTGCAGCCCTCACCACCATTAGTCCCCAAATCTTGTTCTTCTCCCCCAGTTGAAACTCCACCTCCATTCAACAAGGACGCCCCCTCTGCAGCCCCTGGCGTCCACCCTTTTACTCTCTATGAATGGGACGCCTCTAAGGGCCTCAGAGAAGTGGAATCATGCACACTCATCACTTTGTGTCTGGCTTATCTGAGCACAGCATCCTCAAGGTTCATCTAGGTTCATAGTATGTATCAATTTTTTTTAATTTAAGACTATTTTTTATTCTTTATTCTTTCTTTTTTTTTTAAGATTTGATTTTTTAAGTAACATCTACCCCAACATTGGCCTGGAACTCACAACCCCAAGATCAAGAGTTGCACACTCTACTGACTGAGCCACCCAGGCGTCCCTACAGCAGTTTCAAGTTCACAGGAAAATGGAGAGTAAGGTACAGAGATTTCTCACACCCCTTGCCCCCACACATCCACAGATGCCCCTGTGGTCAGCACTGCTCACCAGAGGGGGACATCTGCCACAGCAGCTCAGCCTGCATTAACACATCATCATGACCTGAAATCTGTAGAGTAACTCAGGTTCACTCTAGATGTACATTCCAGGAGTCTGGACAAACGTAGGATGACATCCCCTCACAACAGGACCATATAGAGTATTTCCACTGCCCTACAATACCTCTGTGCTCCACCTGTCCATTCTGCACCCCCGTCAGAATTTCATTCCCTTTTTTTTTTAAGATTTTATTTATTTATTCATTAAGGGTACAGAGAGAGGCAGAGACACAGGCAGAGGGAGAAGCAGGCTCCACGCATGGAGCCCAATGTGGGACTCGATCCGATCCCGGGACTCTGGGATCACGCCCTGAGCTGAAGGCAGATGCTAAACTGCTAAGCCACCCAGGCGTCAATTGATACCGCTCTTATAGGAGCTTCCTCATAGAGAAGATTAACTAAAATAAAGGTTTTGTGACAACATCCACATAACATGTCCCACCAGCAATGCCTCACCCACAGCAGGACCCGGCCTACTGCTGGGCTGGAGCCTTCCTTTTCAGAAGAAAGTAAGTCTTGGGCACCTGGGTGGCTCAGTCAGTTAAATGTTGGCCTTCAGCTCAGGTTATCATCCTGGGGTCCTGGGATTGAGCCCCGTGTCAGGGTCCCTGCTCAGTAGGGAGTCCGCTTCTCCTTCTGCCTCTAGCCCCACGATTCATGTGCCCCACTCTCATGCTCTCTCAAATAAATGAATAAAATCTTAAGAGAAAGTCTTTTTTTTTAAAGATTTTATTGATTTATTTATTCATGAGACACAGAGAGAGAGAGAGAGAAGCAGAGACACAGGCAGAGGGAGAAGCAGTCTCCATGCAGAGAGCCCAATGTGGGACTCAATCCCGGGACTCCAGAATCACGCCCTGAGCTGAAGGCAGGCGCTAAACCGCTAAGCCACTCAGGTGTCCCTGAAGAAAAGAAGTCTTAATGGAGCCAGTGTATTTGCTCTATCCTGAGTGGGAAAGTAGCCACGGCCCCCTCTTCCCCAGGCCCTATGGCTGCTCCCAGAGCCATATCCAGAGCTATGCCCAGGCTGCGTCCACAGCCCCCATGTGCAAATTACCTATAGGTTTGTGGGGTTTTCAGTTTTGTTTTTTTTTTTTTAATTTTACATGATCTCTACCCCTAACGTAGGACTCAAACTCACAACCTGGAGATCAAGAATCACACGCTCTCCGGACTGAGCCAGGCAGGTGTTGGACTTAGAGGGTTTAAACCCTTCATTCCGGGCTCTGGGCCCACTAACCTCTGAAGGGGACCCCAGGCCCATCCTGTGTGCATGAACAGCAGCAAATTATCAGGGCAGTAAACATGTTTATAAGCAGAACAAGAGCTGGGCAGGACAGCACCAATCCTCACTCAACCGGGCTCACGTTCGGGTGGAATATTAAACTAGAAACTCCAAAAACGATTATCGCACTTTGCAAAGTTCCGTCAGAAGGGCCTCCAGGGAGAAGCAGACAAACAGTTTCATTTGCTGCAACAAGTAGCTCAGGGACACGCCGGACTCCGAGGGAGTCGAAGGCAAGGGCATGTTCGGGAGACCCCAAAGGAGCTCCCTGGACCCGCACAGGTGTCCTCTAGTCCCCACCCCAAGAGGGAGCGCAGCATTTCTGAGGCCAGGCACTCAAGGCTTGCAGTGACCGCCTCAGGCGTCTATAAAACCAGATCCAGGGCGGTTTTCTTACCTGTCATTGTCATTTTTAAATAGGAACTCATAATCACAAAATGGTCAAATAACACAAAATCATGGAATAGAAGTGTCGAGTCCCGTTTCAGTCCCTCACCCCAATCCCACTCCACCTTCCACGTAAAGATGATCGCTGCTCACATTTTAGTGCATATCCCACAAGGCCTCTTCCCCAGATCTACACACACACTCATTCACCATTAAGTGGGACTGTTAAGCTCCCTACTGGGAAGGACAAGTCAGGGGGCAGGAAACACAGCAAACATAAGATAATCAAGGTTGAAGCTCCTGCCCTGGAGCTAAGTTTTGGAGCTGACGGTCTGTCTCCCCAGATATCCCCCCTGCAGCTCGCAGCTGCCACACCACACTGCCCACCTGAGCCCCATGCAGCAAATGGGCCTCACCCGCTCCACCTCCACACCTGGGGGTTGGGGTGAAGGGAGGCAGCAGCGAATGCAGGAGATGACCTAGGGTTCAGCCAGTCAGGCCTGGCTTCCAAGCCAGTTTTGTCACTTGTTTGCCTGAACCTCACATAAGCCTGCCTCTTCCCCAAAGGGCAGGTGCCTGCGTATAAAACGGAGCTGATAAATACAACCCACCGCATGGGTGGTGGCCCTCATGCAACACCTGCGGGGTGAGCTCACACTCCAGGCTCACTGGCTGGGGGCTCAAGTGGCACCTGGCAGGCAAGCACCGCCCCCCCCCCCCACTGCTCTCTCTCTCACTTCTCCTTATCCACGCTCTGGCAACTTGCCAGCCGGGCTCTGCCAACAAGTGCCCCGGAAAACCATTTTCCTTGGGCCTCCCGATGGGGAGGGAGGGAGGAAATGATTTTTTTATCACAAATGTTGCACTCACCTAAAGGCCACCCTCCTCCCCAACCTGTCTCAGGTTCACTGCAGAGGAACAGGATGGGGGCAAGGCTGGTTTTTGGAGGGGACACCTCTCCACCACCCTGGGGGCTCCCAGAATTTGGAATGTAGGGAGATACTTGGTATGTTCTGTCCTCAGCTCTGGGCCTTGCCTACAATTCTGGGAAAATTGAAAAAAATTCTACTCGATCTCCTTTCAGACTCACCAGAGGTACACTGATGATTTCAGAGAGCCGGGGCCACAGCACACCTGGTGGGTGACAACTACTTCACTAGGCTAATCAGAGTGGACCTCTCTCAATTTGAGCTCCAGTGACAAGAAGGAAGCGGCCAAGAGAGCTGAGGAAAGGTTACTCTGGACAGTGAGAAGAACAGGTGCAAAGGCCCTACGGCAGGAACAGGCTGGTGTGCTTCCAGGAAGAGACGGGCATCCAGAATGGCCAGAGCATAGCAAGCCAGGGAACAAGCAGCAGAGACACCAGGGGCCAGCTCATGCACCGGGAGGAGTGTAGATTTTCTTCTAGGTACAGCCGGAAGCAGGGAAGGGATGTGATCCAATGAATGTGCTTAAAAGCCAATTGTTAGGAGGATTAATGAAGACTGTTTATAGAAAGCGCCCAGGCTCGCCTGGCACGCAGGCTGCTCAGACGTCCCCAGGGCTTCTCGTTCTGCACAGGGTCCCCTGGCCTGGTACGGGCTCAGGGACATTTGGGGAGTGACAGAGACCTGCTGGGTCATCTCACTTTACCAGTCCTGCAGAGGGGCCCCCAGCACGGCCCCCTCTGGTGGGAGAGGTTCTCCCACAGGTCCACCAGAGTCCCTTGCTTTCTCTTTAGGAGCAGTCCCTCCAAATGGCCTCCTCAGCAGACCTGCTTCCCCTGCTCCTGTAAGCCCCTCCAGTGACCCTCTCAAGCACTGTGCCTGTCTCGAGGGTTCAGGCCACCTACAGACAGTTATTCTTGAGCAAAAATAAAACAGAACTCTAGGAGCCCCTAGGTGGTGCAGTCAGCTGGGCACCTGACTCTTAGTTTCGGCTCAGGCCGTGACCTCAGGGGAGTCTGCTAGAGTTTCTCTCCCCTCGCTCTGCCCCCTCCCGGAGAATACTTCCTAAAATAAATAAATCTTAAAAAACAAACAAACACACAACTCTAAGTGGAAATGAGTGACCCCTATTTCACCCAGTGTTATCTTGCTATACTGGCAACAACTCAGTCCGGATCCTCTTCCCGTCACGCTGACCACTGTGCCCTCTGGCCACTGCCCTGGGTATGCCCAAGGCAAGTTTACATCAGGCCTGGGTGATGGGGGGATGCTCCCCACAGGCCCCAGCCTTGCTTGCTGTGTTCTGGCCATTCTTCCTCTGTCTCTAGGGAGGAAGCTCCTACGAGGAGCCACTTCCCTGGGTGCACCCCATGAGAGTTCCTCTCAACCTCAACTCTGCCCTCCAGACCTCCAAGAAGGTCCCGGCCCGCAGTGCAGGAGCCCAGGCGCCCCGAACCTGCCGGTTCTCCTCCATCAGGTGTACAGGGCCCCTGCCTGCAGGAGCAGGGTGAGAGGAGAGGGCCCACAGACCGCCTGCTGGGACAGCAGGGCAGGAGATGCCCAGGAGCAAGCAGCTGGCACCACCTGCTCAAGCGGGACCCCTCCTCCCCCATCCTCAGGGACGGCTGAGCACAAAGCCCACAGCTGCTGGCTGCCCTAGCTCC